GCATTGAGCTGTTAAATTTTTCTAACGAAAATGTCACACAAAAATATAAATATTAACAAACAAAATTTAATAGAACACCAAATAAGTTTGCATCTATTGAAACACGGTAGTAGTGATGGCGGTATGTTAGCCGGAAAGATTTAGCGTAATCTCATTTTACGTATTTTAGAGTTACTTTTGAAAAAATATATTTTCCAATGAACATACATCTGTTTTAAAAATTGTAAATGTATAAACTTGTCAGAAGAACAATGCACGTAATATACAAGATAGACTTAGAAATAAGTTCCATAGATGAAGCCATTGATATGTCATTGCATAGAAAACTTACGTCAAATTTGGTCAGAGCGGAATTGTTGCTTCAAACACTACAACAAATAAAAACTAAATTATCGCGAGAATGTCTGTTCTAGCGGTCCTTAAAAATCTCCAAATATTGTATCATATCAACACATTCAACTGTTTTGCCGATCTAGAAAACATAAAAATCGTGAACAATTGCGGCAACTTTAATGTATATTCTATACATTCACTACCGTTATATATGTCAAATTTAAAATAATGGATTAAATATGATACTAGCGATAACCTCATTACGGTATCAGATGACAGGACCGCATACACGCTAATACCTACAATACAACTAAACTCATGTGAAAGAAATGTAATTACCGGACTATATATAAGCGGAATCCATCATGTAAATTTAATTCATTTATGAATACAAATAAAATTACCCATGCAAAAAAACAATAGTATTACCTTCATCAATATTTATAACAAGCAACAAGCACATTTATTTCAATTCCAATAAAGAAAAAGAAATAATTTATAAGTGTTGGACCAGCCTGCCACTAACATTTACATGGTCCAATTAACAAATGCTAGTCTTATAAAAAATTCACAACACTGTGATATAATTCACGAGAGCTCATTTATTTCCCCTATCATTGAGCAAAATATTATTCTAAACATATAAATCCATGTATCAAAATTGAGTATAAAATCAATATTATCAAATAACGACAGCGAGATATTATCAAAATTATCATACTCGACATAATAAATAATTTTTCAAAACTTAAGATTGACCAAAATGATAAGATAAATTTTGATAAAATTGTCGAGCACTTAAAAACAAATAAAAATTTTGATGACACTAAAAGAACCGTAATAATTTCAATAGGACTGGCGATTTTAATCACTGTCAGATATCATTATACTTGATCCAACTATGCCACGTCACCACTGTGTCGCGACCACCATGTACTTGCTTTTTTTTATAAGTATAAATGTAGAAACTATTTTTAAACTCTAGAAAACATATTTAGATGGTATGAGGACACAATTTTATTAAGTAATTTTTTTAGACAACCCTAGTACACATACATAAATTGCTTGATCAAAAAAGTTGGTGCGCTTATCGCCGCGCGGAAGCTGAAGGAATGTTGAGTAAGTTTAAGCACGATTACCTCCCACTGGATCCAGAAGTTGAAAAAGGTCTAAAGCCTATTTATGAAAATTTATCTCGGCATGAATTGCTTTATAGATGCAAAGGTAGTAATACTCAAAACAATAATGAAAGTTACAACGGTTTACTTTGGCACTTTTCACCAAAGCACCTTCATAATGGATTGAAAACTATTANACCAAAGCACCTTCATAATGGATTGAAAACTATTAAATTAGCAAATTTTTTTACAACTTCAATATTCAATAACGGTTACTTCTCAATTTTAAAGATATTTAATGTAATGGGAGTAAAAGTTGGACCTGCAGCAAGAGATTATACGGCTCTTAAGGACGAGACGAGACTACGAATCGCTGATCATCGCCAACGGGCTTGTTCAAAAGAGGGTCGATCATCTCGAAGAAGAGCTTCTTCAGCTCAACAAGCACTTTTNTCTTCTTCAACTCAACAAGCACTTTTTGAGGAAGAGGGAGGTGAATTATATGGGCCTGGAATAGCAGATTAGCTGTAAGTATGATTTTAATCCATTTATAACAGTGAAAACGATCATTTTATCTTTAAACGCGTGTTTCTCGAAACAGCATTTTTCGAATTTGCTGGAATGATTACTCGGAGACAAATGATCCGATCGCTATCAAATTTTTTTTGCATCTCCTCTATATAGTTCTCCATATGATGACTTTCCAGTTTTTTGATCTGATCAAAAATCAAATTTTGGCAGGTCAAAAACGACCAACATTTTGGGAAAAATTAAATTTTTTTTTTCAACATGCCGCCATTTTGTCAATTTTTGATTATTTTGTTCGCCTGAGGGTCATTGTAATATTAAAATTATTTTACTATATTTTAAGTTTTATCTTCGATGCAAAGCTGAAAAGATATTTTTTTGTGGTTATCATTTTATTTTCTCAGCTCTAACTTGACCCACTTTTTTCAACGATTCATCAAATGACTACAATTCGTATCTAGTCAAAGATATTACCCTTAAAAATTGAAAAAAAATTCTAATTTACCAATTAGACAGTTAGTTATTCCATGTTCTCCATAATGACAATTAAAATCATTCATTTTTAATGTTTTAAAATATATATTGATGAATTAAGTTTTATATGATAGGTTTCAACTACAAAATTAAATCATTTTACTTTGTAATTTAATATTTTTATTACTCTATTGTGTGTACTACTACTAGACTATAATATTACAAAATTTTTGGTAACATGTTGCTATATAAATAATTTCTAAAAAAAATGATTGTTAGTTTCTCCTGAATTAATAATGGAGTATTACAATTATAATCAAATTTTATTATACGCTCAATTAAGTAAATTTTATTTACAACTTTGTTTTGATTGGTTCATTCAGTTAAAGTAAATCATTAAAATTAATTAAGTTTTGAATATTTCAATTGCAGAATCTTTTCAAACACCAAAAGTTACTAGAAAATTATTACTATTAATTCTATTTAAGTTATCTATTACGATAAAAATACAAAAATATATTGAGCTTTTCAGATAAATATACAATAAATAGTAATTATAAAATTTTCTGACTGCATAATGATCTTAACAATTTTTTTAATTGTCATAAAATTTTCTATTTAATGATGTCAATTTGAAACTTGCCAGTTAAGCTAAAAGTTATGGTAACATATTCAAATTTTTTTACTATAAACTTTCAATTTAAAAGACGAAATAAAGAAAGTTAAACATTATTATTTTTAACATATTAAAAATCAAATCAGTAATAATTTGAAAACAATAATTAAAAGAAAAAAAAAATGTATTTTATATGCAATTAGTAATAATATAAAAAATTAGAACTGATAGATAAAGTCTAATTGCAGATTTGAAAACAATGCGAAAATTTGATTTATAAAAGTATATTTTTGCTNATAACAGGAGTATTACAATTATAATCAAATTTTATTATACGCTCAATTAAGTAAATTTTATTAACAACTTTGTTTTGATTGGTTCATTCAGTTAAAGTAAATCATTAAAATTAATTAAGTTTTGAATATTTCAATTGCAGAATCTTTTCAAACACCAAAAGTTACTAGAAAATTATTACTATTAATTCTATTTAAGTTATCTATTACGATAAAAATACAAAAATATATTGAGCTTTTCAGATAAATATACAATAAATAGTAATTATAAAATTTTCTGACTGCATAATGATCTTAACAATTTTTTTAATTGTCATAAAATTTTCTATTTAATGATGTCAATTTGAAACTTGCCAGTTAAGCTAAAAGTTATGGTAACATATTCAAATTTTTTTACTATAAACTTTCAATTTAAAAGACGAAATAAAGAAAGTTAAACATTATTACTTTTAACATATTAAAAATCAAATCAGTAATAATTTGAAAACAATAATTAAAAGAAAAAAAAATGTATTTTATATGCAATTAGTAATAATATAAAAAATTAGAACTGATAGATAAAGTCTAATTGCAGATTTGAAAACAATGCGAAAATTTGATTTATAAAAGTATATTTTTGCTTCTGATGAAAGTTCCTTGTAGTCCAGTGCATTAATTTATAGTAACAAACAGTTTTTATTGATAATTATTGTATTAAGTCCTTTAAATTTTTATACACGTAAAAGTAAAGCAAAATATAACTTCTTTATTATTTTTATAATTTCTCCGTTTAAATTACAATATTAAGTTATTGAATATCATTTTCATACTAAATTTAATAATTATAATTAGTATTTATTCATATATTATATTTTAAAATCAAAGAACTACTAATAAGTAAATAATTAAAGAAATAAGAGTTGATGTTGCTTTTGGAATAATCCACCAATTTCTCTAAATGAAACACTATCTACAGATTTTCATCGAAGCGTTTCTTATGATAGTGATTTTAATTACTGTCAGATATCATCTATACTTGTCTCATCTATGCCTCGTCTACACTGTACCTCGACCTGCCTGCGCTACCGTTTTTTTTAACTTAACTATGTTGAAAGGACGCAGTATGTCTGGAACATTTTTAAAAGCTCAGTTTAAAACGTTTTACTTTTGTGGAAAAATTGCTACTTTGAATCGATCCTCTGAACAGGTTAAGGCTCAGGTTTTAAAAAAAACTTAATATTTAATAAAAGGGACATACTTAAGGTTTCTATAAAAAAAAAAATTAGTTTGATTCATTTTGAAAAAGTAATGGCAGTTTTGACATTCAAAAATGATAATAAAAATTAAAAATTTAACAATATTAAAAATTGTATTTTTTTCGAGATTTCTCCAATTTACAGGGAACGAAGGAATATTTTTCCACTTTTAATACAAATGTTTTCAACTACATACGATTTGTAATCTTCTGATGTATCGTTGAAAGAAATCGGTCCAGTGAGAGCTGAGTAAAAGTGTGACTGACGTAAAAAAAAATACATTATAGTAAAATTTATACCTTCTCAGCTTTGCATTGAAGCTAAAATATTATAATTAAAGTTTCAAAAAATGAATTAAAATAATGCATTATTAGGAAATATTAATTAAAAATTATACTCATACTTATGATAATTTTGTAACATGATTATTCATTTATTATAAGAGAATATAACAAAAACTAAAAATTTATATTTTATTTAATACATTCAATTTACACTGAATTACAAACTGATGAAAACAAATTTTTCAAAAATTAAATTACTCTATATCTAATCTATTTTGTATTGGTTCATGAATCCACCTTAAAATTATCGAATTCACATTAGCATATTCTATAAAAAAAAAAAAATAAATATATAATAATAAATTAGGTTAAATGTGATTAAAATCTTTTTTTTAAGACAAATAACAGTTTTACAGTAATGGACATAAAGCATATGTGATAAATTTATGTAAACTATATAAGAACACATTTAAATTTTAGGAATCTTGAACATGAAAAGCTTTTGGTTTGCGAATTTCATTTGTAATAATAATTAACTAGTGTCTACCATTTGAGTTTTTAATAAAAATAAATAAATTTATAATTTTTTCTTAATATAGTAAATACTTTTTATGCGTAAAAAACCATTGTCACAAAAAAAAAAAAATATATATTATTTTATAGAGAATTTTTTTGATTATTTAAGTTTTGTCATAAATTTTGAACGAAAAGTTGATTTTGACAGACTTAAATTTAACTTATTTATGTTTATGAAAACTTTCACATGCTGTGTGGTTTGGAAAACTTTTCTGGCCGTGAAATTTATCATGCATCTCACTATTGGACTGTATTCAAATTATATTATTTTTAAAAATATACTAAAAAAATGTACTTCTTATACATTTAATTTGAATCAATATGCATCTTAATTTTGAACAAAAATTTTGGGCGTAGAAGAAGCTAAGATATATGTCATAATATTGAACAAGTATTCGATTATTGTAACTAACCGCCGTTTTGACTAGTTGTGAAAGAAATATTAATCGCTAAAACGTGAAATAATGTAATAGCTTAACAATTTATAGTCTATAAATATTTTACAAATCCATAGATAATAAAAACATAAATAGGACCGGACATTGGCATGTTATAAATAGTTCACTGTAATAAGAAATACGCTGCGCAACGTTTTACTGCCAGTAGAATTTATAGATTAGAGAATTCAAATAAATAAAAACCTATTTTATTGGGTCTATAATGAATATTACTAAACGCGGTAATTGTACGTAGTAAGCCGGGTTTCTGTCAAAATCAAAATTAGAGCAACAGTTAGTTGAATAATGACAAAAAACTATGTGCTATTTATTTAAACGTTAACCTTTAAAATAAATTATTTCAATCTTTCTTATATATTTTAGTATGAATTTAAAAAAAAAATGAAAAATAAAAAAATTTTTTTTTATTATATTTTGGTCCAAAAGCCGTTATTATTAGAAGTTTAAGAGAATTACGACAAAGTTATAGGGCGCAGACAAAGTGCTAGACACACATATTAAGCGTACTTCGAGAAAGACATAACTGAATACAAGGTGCAGACGTGATACAAAATATAAGTACTTGAGTCAAGTAAGGGAAAGAATTAAGATAGGTAAAGGCGTCAAAAATGACCATACTAAATCTTGACATAAGGTTGCAAGTCAGACAGCGACAACTGAGTACTGAGAATGATGTTTTGGCTATAAATTTTGTCGCGCCAATTGTAGGAGGTTAATAAAAATTAAAATGTACTGGTCTTAAACTAAATGACGGTTAAAACGTTTATAATCACGCAGATACAATTTTATTAATTCGATAAACTTAAAATAGTTGACACTTCGACCCAATACAGTGAGGTCAATACTACTACTACTACTACATGATCATCAGGCAATCAATAGGTCACAATCTTATCTTGCCACACTTAAATACAATAAAGAGTGGTCACAACATTAAATACTATAGTTCAGCCATCCTAACAGTTGGTCGACTTCGAACAACAACAATAAATTAATAGTATCACATAATAAAGTTCGCTTAATAGATAAATAGTTGCGAATTATTTATTAAACAAGTAACACATATTTTCCGCTTTACAGTGTCGAATTTGCGCGTATTGTTTAATAAATACTCAATAACGAAAAATGTTTTCGTTTACTACAGTTAAGTGCTAAGTGTATCAACAGTTCTTTAGGTCAGGTTGCGTGCGACGGCAAAAACGTGCGGCGTTTTTGTCAACAATGACATGTATGATAAGATAATTATTAGTGATAAACCAGGTTGTAGCTCAGATGCTTCACGTAGTTCATCAACAAAACAAGTAAAAGAAATAGAAAAAAATTTATTAAAACTTACACCAAAAAAGTGTATACTACCTACAATAACTGCCAGTGGTGTTAAAAATATCAACAATTTAATTTCTAATTTAACTCGTAAAGAAGCCATTGGTCATGAGCAATAGTTAAAAACTATTGCTAACGGCCATATTAAAATTATTGGTGATGAACACAAGTTGAGACGTACTTAAAAAGTACTTGAAAAAAATAAAATTAAGTATCATAGATATCAATTATAAACAGAAAAAATGTTGTAATCAGCGGATTACACCCTGATATTGAAGTATGTGAAATTAAAAGAACCTTAGCAGATAATAGTCATAATGCAAGTGATGTCACTGACATCTAAATTAGGAAAAAAATAAATCCTAGTGAAAAAAACAATGATATAATTACCATTATTTTTTGTAGACCTTAATCCTTGAGATAACAATAAAGATATATACGACATAAATAGTTTATGTTATCATAAAATAAAAGTAACTCCTCCGAAGAGAAAAAAAGTGTGCCACAGTGAAAAAACTGCCAAGCCTTTGGACATACTCAACAATGCACATACAAGCAGCAAATGTCAAAGTTATTTATAACATACTAAATGGGGATCAAGAATTATTATCCCTAAAGGACATGCACTATTAAAATCAGCTAATTACAACAAAGCTGAGTTTGTTTCTACTAGAAAACCAACTTACTGGCCAAGTGACTCAAATAAAATCCCTGATCTTTTAAACATCTTCGTAATTAAAGGTTACTCTTCTAATTATGTTCAAGCAGAAGAGCTGGTAGACTTGCCGTCTGATCACATTTCTGTGTTATTAACAATGAGTTCGAATGTCATATTAAAAAAGCGGAAAATTTTTCTCACAAATAAATAGACAGACTGGAATATTTTCACAAAAACACTTTCCGTACAGTTGAAAACAGAAAGTAACATAAAAACAGTAGTACATTAATTAACTAATTATATTATCAATGCGGCAAAAAAGCTACTTCAGAAATTTATAAAGACAAATATCGTGATACCAGCTATCCAGCAGAGATAAAAGAACCTATTCGGCAATAACGCAGAGCTAGAAGAAAATTGCACACTACCCGTCATTTAGCAAACAAATCTGAATGGAATCGCTTATGCATAGTGCTTCNTCTGAATGGAATCTCTTATGCATAGTGCTTCGCAAGAAAATCAAAGAAGTTAAAAACGAAACATTTAAGTCATATTTCAGCGGACTAACATTATATTCCAGAACAAAGGAAAAAGGCGCAAGTAATCATGTTGTTGAAACCTGGAAAGGCTCCAGAGTAATCTCTTCATATAGGCCAATATCACTCTTACCCAGTATGGTTAAACTCTTAGAAAAGCTTCTTTTAAAGCTCCATAAACCTTTAATNTATTATTTTTTGTAGACTTTGATCCTTGAGATAACAATAAAGATATATACGACATAAATAGTTTATGTTATCATAAAATAAAAGTAACTCCTCCGAAGAGAAAAAAAGTGTGCCACAGTGAAAAAACTGCCAAGCCTTTGGACATACTCAACAATGCACATACAAGCAGCAAATGTCAAAGTTATTTATAACATACTAAATGGGGATCAAGAATTATTATCCCTAAAGGACATGCACTATTAAAATCAGCTAATTACAACAAAGCTGAGTTTGTTTCTACTAGAAAACCAACTTACTGGCCAAGTGACTCAAATAAAATCCCTGATCTTTTAAACATCTTCGTAATTAAAGGTTACTCTTCTAATTATGTTCAAGCAGAAGAGCTGGTAGACTTGCCGTCTGATCACATTTCTGTGTTATTAACAATGAGTTCGAATGTCATATTAAAAAAGCGGAAAATTTTTCTCACAAATAAATAGACAGACTGGAATATTTTCACAATGGCCCTAGAAAAAACACTTTCCGTACAGTTGAAAACAGAAAGTAACATAAAAACAGTAGTACATTAATTAACTAATTATATTATCAAGCGGCAAAAAAGCTACTTCAGAAATTTGTAAAGACAAATATCGTGATACCAGCTATCCAGCAGAGATAAAAGAACCTATTCGGCAATAACGCAGAGCTAGAAGAAAATTGCACACTACCCGTCATTTAGCAAACAAAACTGAATGGAATCGCTTATGCATAGTGCTTCGTAAGAAAATCAAAGAAGTTAAAAACGAAACATTTAAGTCATATTTCAGCGGACTAACATTATATTCCAGAACAAAGGAAAAAGGCGCAAGTAATCATGTTGTTGAAACCTGGAAAGGCTCCAGAGTAATCTCTTCATATAGGCCAATATCACTCTTACCCAGTATGGCTAAACTCTTAGAAAAGCTTCTTTTAAAGCTCCATAAACCTTTAATAGAAGAATAAAAACTTATACCCGATCATAAATTCGGTTTTAGAAACAAACATTCATTTATAGACCAAATTCATTCGTTTCCAAATTCGTTTGAAGAAAAAAAATATTGCTGTGCAGTATCACTTAACACAGCCCAGGCTTTTGATAAATTATGGCATAAAAGCCTGCTTAAATTTGCGTAAACAATTACCAAACTCGTGGTGTACTATTTCAGTCCTATTTGACTGAAAGACAGTTCCGCGTCTTACATGACAAAGCTTTAACTAATTGGAAAAATATAGCAGCCGGAGTTCCACAAGGTAGTGTATTGAACCTTATATTGTATCTACTTCACACGGCTGACATTCTGACCAACAAAAATTCAACAACTGCTATGCTTGCAGATGATACTGCAATATTAAGAACTAACAAAGATCAACAGGTTCTTGGTTCATGGTTGAAACGTTGGAAGATGAGAGTTAACAATGAAAAGTCAGTGCACGTAAATTTTACGTTAAGTGAAACATGTAACATTCCAATATTTCTAGAGCAACAAATAATCCCACAGAGAGATTCGGCTGGGAATGCACCTTGACTGACGACTCAACTGGAAACATCATGTAGGCCAGAAAAGACTGCAGGTAAAGGATAAAATGCGCGGACGCTAATGGTTAGTTGGCAAACATTTTGAGTTATCACTAGAGAACAAACGTCTGTTGTACATAGCGATCGTAAAACCTGTTTGGACTTATGGAATTCATTTGTGGGGTTGTGCTAGTAAGTCCAACATAGATATTATACAACGTTTTCAAAATTTAGCGATTCGTACAATCGTTGCAGCTTTCAGATTCGATATAAATTATGTAATTCATCGAGATATGGTGTTGGAATACCATGAAAATATAGCGGCAATTCAACTATTGGACAATTCCAATGACCTAAGACGTTTAAAACACGTCAAGCCATATGACTTGGTCTAGATTTATAAATATTTATTTTACAATTTAAATATTATTTATTTTTATTAGACTAAGTTAGGGACCACTTCACAGGAAGTGTAAATCCCAATCATATTTTATTAGTATACATTAATATATATATATAAATTAGTAAAATGTATATTTATTAATTGTATATTTATAATTTTGATAACCATTTAATTGATTAAGATTTATGAAGATTGATCGTCTCAATAAAAATTACCGTAGGGTAGTTAAAAAAAAATATATATATATATATATTAAATTAAACATTACTTGATTATTATTTTAAGATAAAAATATAGATTAGTCAAATTATTGCAATTAGTACAATCGTCGCGGCTTACAGATTTGATATAAATGATATAATTCATCATAAACTATAATTATTATATTATCAATACTTATTAACAATATAATAAAAATAGTATGTATTATTAAGAGTAAAATTAATAAATTTTATACAGAGATTTTTTTATCATAACCCACTCAATTACTTACAGAATAAATATAATTTAAACATTTTTTTTTACACATTTATCTTATATTATTAACTATATAATACTTTTTAAGTTCATCCCTTGATGGTAAAGATGTCAAAATTGTTTTTTTAAATGGGAACACATATTTTGAATTTAATAAAATCTTTGAGATTTTAATTTGTTGGTAAATGGCATATGAATTTTTAGTATAACTTTATTTGTTTATTAGATATAAGTATTTAAAGTTTCAAATGTTTGAGTTAATATACATGTATAATATATAAGGGTTTACAAATACAGGTAGCTAATTGTTTTTTTATGATGTTGCAATCACAATCACTGGCTGTGAGTGTTTATTGTTAATTATTACTATCAATAGATATACTTTCTGTTTTACCAATTAGTGTATTTATAAACTCACAACAATGTGCCTTACTACCATTGATAATAACAATGCTGTGTACCTGCTAATATCGATCTCATAAAAATCCAATTAGCTACCCGTATTTGTAAATCCTCATTTGTAAAAAAAAGTAGTTGGGGTGCGCAAAAAAATTTAAAAAAAAGTAGAGGAGCTACGTCCTCCTGCGCACCCCCCCCAATTCGAGCACTGGTTATGAGTTTATAAATACACTAACTGACAATACAGAAAGTATATCTATTGATAATCATAATTGATAATAAACAATCTGTGACTGAGACAGCAATGTCATAAAAATCCAATTAGCTACCTGTATTTACAATCCCATGTGTATTATACATGTATATTAACTCAAACATTTGAAACTTTAAATACTTATATCTAATAAACAAATAAAGTTTTTGTAAAAATTCAAATGCCATTTACTATTAAATTAAAAACTCAAACATTTTATTAAATTAAAAATATGTGTTTCTATTTAAAAAAACAAAGTTGACGCTCTAACCAGGCATAAGGGATGAACTTAAAAAGTAAATTATAGTTAATAATTCAAGAATAATTTGTAACTAAAGATAATCAAAAAAAAAATGTTTGAATTATTGTTATTCTGTAAGTTATTGAGTGGGTTATGATAATAAAACCACCTTGTACATGATCACTAAAATTCACCACAAAAATAGCTTAACCTGATTTTTTAGTTTAGTTACAATCAATGGGACCGACTTTTAGTCATTAAATCCCCACCCATGTAAAAAATAGTTCTGGAGCCCCTGTTTGTGTACAGTTGCATATTTAAGGGAGAGCGTTAGGAGCAATCATCACCTTAAATATGCGCTATCAATATATTTTTTTTTAAATATTATTTTATTTTACAAAATATGGCTAAAAAGAACCTTATTTGTTTATGAATTTGACTTTTAGCAAAAAAAATTTTCTGTTTCCCAAAGTAAAAAAAAATTAAGTCGCCCCAGCTAAAATGAATTTTAAATATGTACTGGTTATGTTTATTAAATTATTGTAATAACAATCGTGTTTAAATTGTAATTTTTTGAGTGGGTGTATATTAATAGTCCGGATAGATTCATAAAATTACTATTAATTTAGACAACGTATCTCTTACCATCTATTGTAAGTCCTTTATCTGGATTTGATATTGCGTAAATTTGGACGAAATCTTCACATTTTTCAGGAGTAATACCCTCGCCAATATTAGGTAAGAATTTTTTTATGTAATTATACAATATATCGGCATTCATGTGGCCACCTGGAAAATACTGTACACTTTGTGCATTGACAGTATAAGCGTCATTTATACTGACTTCGCTGTTGTTGTATTCTACAATATTTGTTGGAACTAAAAATAATTTTAAGCTTTAAATTTCAATTTTGAATAATTATTTTTAGATAACACTTAATTTTAATAAAAAATGATTTAATTTGGGTAAGATTTGACTCAATTTCTCAGAAACTATTGAAAATTTTTAATTTTCATAAAGAGAAAATTATTTAGTTTAAAACTTACAATAATATACAGTAAAGTAAGATTTTTCATCTCATTAATGATAAAAAAAACAACTTTAATTTTTGTAAATAGGAACACCTACTTTTAACATTATAATGTGATAAANGGCCACCTGGAAATAACTGTAGACTTTGTGTATTGACAGTATAAGCGTCATTTATACTGACTTCGCTGTTGTTGTATTCTACAATATTTGTTGGAACTAAAAATTATTTTAAGCTTTAAATTTCAATTTTGAATAATTATTTTTAGATAACACTAAATTTTAATAAAAAATGATTTAATTTGGGTAAGATTTGACTCAATTTCTCAGAAACTATTGAAAATTTTTAATTTTCGTAAAGAGAAAATTATTTAGTTTAAAACTTACAATAATATACAGTAAAGTAAGTTTTTTCATCTCATTAATGATAAAAAAAACAACTTTAATTTTTGTAAATAGGAACACCTACTTTTAACATTATAATGTGATAAAAAAAAGGAATTACTAACAAATATGGTCTTATAATTATTTTTTTATTCGGTCAATTGTTCATCTGTTGCCAAAAGTACCACAAATTGAAAGAGAATATCACTCATCGCGGAGAGAGTAATTATTATTAATATATATTTTAATAAGTGTCACAGTCCTATTGTGATTTAAAAAGACTCTGGTTCAGCCTGACAACAAATGTTTTTTTCCATAGGCACCAAAAAAATTACATATATTTTGCTTATGACATTTAGCTTCGATGCGAAGCTGAGAAGGTATTAATTTTACCATGATGTGTTTTTTTTTATGTCTGTTGCCACTTTTTCTCAGCTCTCACTGCACCGATTTCTTTCAACAATACGTCAAAAGATCACAAATCGTATCTAGTGGAAGACATTACTCTTAAAAATTGAAAAATTTTTCCTCGTTCCCCGCAAATGGGGGAAATATCCGAAAAAATTACAAATTTAAAAATCGCTAATTTTGTCATTATTTTCACATTTTTTTCTCAAAATTTCCATAACTTTTTCAAAAATAAACAAATTAACATAATTTTTTTTATATTGAAACATTAGATATTTCTCTTTCATTTGATATAATTTTTTTGAAAATCTAACACTTAACCTGCTCATTGGGAGGGATTTAAAATAGCAATTTTTTTATAAAAACTAACTTTTTCAACTTAACTTTTGAAAATGTTCCGGAAATTAATTTTGAAAAAAAAAATTTGACCTCTGGACTTGTCTTCGTGGTGAAAATGGCTATTATAAAATTTCCTGATTGCATATTAAACTTAAAAATTTCATTTTTCCCTATTTAATAATGTCAATTTCAAACTTGCAAGTTGAACTATAAGTTAAGGTAATAAATTCATTTTTTTTTATTAAAAATTTCACTTAAAAGGACAAAAAAAAGTAGTTTCAAAATGATTACTTTTAACTTATTAAAAATCAAAATAAATAATAATTTAAAAACAATTAATTTTAAAAATTATATAATTTATAATTAAACGAATTACTAATCTGGGTATAATTAAGGAAATAGAAGTTAATGTTGCTTTTGTAATTATCCATCAATTTTAGCTCCGATGCGAAGCTGAGAAGGTATTGGTTTTACTAAGATGTGTTTATTTTTATTTTTTTTTTTTTGTGTCTGTTACCACTTTTTCTCAGCTCTCACCTAACCGATTTCTTTCAATGATACGTCAAAAGATCACAAATTGTATCTAGTCGAAGACATTACCTTCAAAAATAGAAAAAAATTCCCTCGTTCCCCGTAAATGGGGAAAACCTCCAAAAAAATTACGAATTTAAAAATCGCTAATTTTCGAAAATTTTTCAATTTTTTTTACTTAAAAGTTAATAATGAACTAGCAGATCATGTAGCTTTTGGAATAATCCACCAATTTTTTAAAATTAAACACTATCTACAGATTTGCATCGAAGCGTTTCTTATGATAGTGATTTTAATCACTGTCAGATTAAATCTATACTGGACTTAACTATGCAACGTCCCCACAATGCCGCGACCCCACTGTGCAGGGTTTTTTTTACTCTTAAAACTAACTTTTTAAATTTGTTTTTGTTTAATACAAAATATTATTGATACATCACTATTATCGTTTTCATTTTAAATATTTGTAATAATAATTTTAAATTTGACTCAAAATAATCAAACATAAAGTCTAAAAACAAACTGTAGACTCAATTTGTTGTCAATATTACAAATACTCAATGGAGTTTAAATGTTTGTATCATATTCTTGACTTTAGTAGATTTTACTTTGTCCACCGAGCACCAAATGTGATTATAGGTAGAATTTCAAGAGATACAAAAGTATCTCTTGAATACCATAATATAATACTATAATATAATTATAGGTATAGGTGTTTGTGTATGTGTGTCAGAGCGTAGAAATAGATTAAAAATGAAATTAATTGAAATGTGTAGCTGAAATCACTAAAATTGATTTAAATCCAAATACAATATTCCAGGGAATTAATTTCAATTGATTTTAAATAATTTTTTATATATTTAATCTGTAAAACCATTTTTTTTTTTGTAAATTTATTATTGATACTATTTCACTTTGAGCTATCGTGTATATAAAAAATCGGATGAAGTTAGCCTCATCTCAAAATTCTTTTTTCAAACTAATATCAGACCAGATATTTTTCCAAAAACCTACTTAGAAATTCCATATGATTCTAATATGTTGCCTTAGATTTAGATTTACCAATTCATTTAAAACTGTATATTTACTCTATTATGGATACGCTCTTTAATATCGACTATAAATTGTATAAATATACAGGTAATTTTTTTATCATAACCCAATTAATTGAAAAAAAAACCCAGCACAGGGGAGTCGCAGCACAGTGGTGTCGTGGTATAGTTAGATTAAGTATAATGATATCTGACAGTGATTAAAATCACTATCAAAAATAAACGCTTCGATGCAAATCTTTAGATAGTGTTTAATTTTAAAAAATTTGGTGTTTTATTCCAAAAGCTACTTGATCTGCTNATGGTGTTTTATTCCAAAAGCTACATGATCTGCTGGTTCCTTATTAAAATCTTGATTAAGATGAAGTATGTCGAATGAAAAAGGATTTATTGAAAAATATTATTTCTCATAAAAAAATTGTGTGGATCCATATACTTTTCAATAAGTTATAGCATTATAAAGTTAAAAATGTAAAAAATAAAACCAAGAATTTTCACACAAAAATAGCGTTCGGTAGCCATTTCCGCCATGATGACAAGTCCAGAGGTCAAATTTTTTTTTTCAAATTAAAGTATATTATATTAGCTTTAATATAAGATATATATAAAAGTGTCAGACCTTCCGGAACATTTTCAAAAATTAAGTTGAAAAAGTAAATTTTTTGTGAAAAAGTTGTCATTTTAAATCCCCCTTTGTGGGCAGGTTAAGGGTTAAATTTACAAAAAAAATATACCAAATGATAAGTAAAGACATCAAGCATCTATATAAAAAAAAATTATATTGATATGTTTATTTTTGAAAAAGTTAGAGCTGTTTTTAGTAAAAAAAATTGAAAAATTTTCGAAAATTAGCGATTTTTGAATTTGTAATTTTTTTGGAGGTTTCCCCTAATTACGGGGAACGGGGGAATTTTTTTCAATTTTTGAAGGTAATGTCTTCGACTAGATACGATTTGTGATCTTTTGACGTATCGTTGAAAGAAATCCGTTCGGTGAGAGCTGAGAAAAAGTGGTAACAGACACAAAAAAAAAAAAAAAACACATCATAGTAAAATAAATACCTTCTCTAGCATGACTGTTTAATGACAACTGTATTTTTTAGAAATATCTTCTATCGGGACTGAGGGTTAATTTTTAAAATATTGGCGTATAAGCTTTTAATAGATGTTTTGTGATTTTTAACGTGTCGTTGAGCAAAATCGTTCCAATAGGAGTAGGTGTAATGGCGTATCGGGCAGAAAAAGAAACACGTCAAAGTAAAACCAATAGTTTCTCAGCTGCTCATTGAAACTAAAATTCTTTTAGGGTAGTCCAAAATTGTAAAAATTATGTTAAGAAAAAAGTAATGCAAAATATTTGATAAATCAGAAGTTCTTAAGGATGTGAAATATCCTTAAGAACTAAATTATCACCAAATCAAATTTTTTTTACATGAATAATTTTTATTATAACTCTAAAATATTTGGAAATATCAAAACCCATGGCAGTAGTAAAACGTTTAAACATTTATTTTATGAGAAAAATAATAAATAAAAAAATTACCTGCAAATGCAATTGTTATATAAATAACGAAGAGTAATAAAACAATTTTATTTTTAAACATATTTGAAGCTTATAAAAATTCTTTTAATGGAAGTTATAATATTTTTGAAAAAAATTGTATGGATTTATTTAATTATAAAGAATTTAAAGTACTTAATGAAGTCAATATAAAGCTTGTTTTATAGGAAAGTGAGTTTAATTTAAACGGTTCAGATGTTTTATTTTGGTTACTGATGACACTATTGACGACAACTGTAATAATTAATTCAATAATTTTTTAGTAAATAGAGTCGTAATCAGTATTAATAACTATAATTTTATACGTCATTAATTCAGCACTGTAAATTCAAGAAAAATTAATCATGCTGAAACTACATGATCATCTTATTAAAATAATTGTAATTTCTTTTAAAAATATTACATAATGAATTTAAATATAAGATTCTTAGAATTATGACATTTGAAAATAATAAGATTTAATTATAATAATAATAAATTAGATAGTCTATCATATCAACTTTCAATAAAATTAATTGCTGCCATTTATTGTATAAATTATAAAAAACTTAGAAGTGTCCTGTTACAGTGCTACACACAAAATAACCAAACAATTACCTTATTGTATTGGTCAATTAAATACGGTCAGATAGGTTTTTGACTAGGTTAACTTTCCCGAATTTTGTTTATTTTCAATTCCATAGCTTGTAAACCTCAAAAAGAAGGGCACGTGTTAATAATAAGTGATGAGCATGAAAAATTATTCATGATTGGTAAATTCATAATATACAGGTGATTTTTTTATCATAACCCACTCAATTATTTACAGAATAAATATATTTATACATTTATTCTTTTTGGTTATCTATAGTTACACATTATTCTTGAATTATTAACTATGTAATATTTTTTAAATTCATCCCTTATGCCTAGTAAGGGCGCCAACTTTGTTTTTTTAAATGGAAACACATATTTTTAATTCAATAAAATGTTTGAGTTTTTAATTTAATGGTAAATGGCATTTGAATTTTTAGTATAACTTTATTTAATTATTTGATATAAACACTTAAAGTTTCAAATGTTTGAGTTAATATACAGGTATAATTCACAAAGGATTACAAATATAGGTAGCTAATTGGTTTTTTATGACATTGCTGTCACAGTCACGGATTGTTTATTATCAANTTTTTTTATGACATTGATGTCACAGTCACGGATTGTTTATTATCAATTATGACTATCAATAGATATACTTTTTATATAGTCAGTTAGTGTATTTATGAACTCACAATAATGTGTCTTACCACTGATAATAACAATGCTGTGTACCTCCGAATATTGATATTGATAATCCAATTAGCTACTTGTATTTGTAAACCCTTGTGTATTATACATGTATATTAACTCAAAAATTTAAAATTTTAAGTGTTTATATCCAATAAACAAATAAAGTTATACTAAAAATTCAAATGCTATTTATTAATAAATTAAAATCTCAAAGATTTTATTAAATTAAAAACATGTGTTTCTATTTAAAAAAACAATGTTGACCCCCTTACAAGGCATAAGGGATGAACTTAAAAAGTATAACATAGTTAATTATTTAAGAATAATGTGTAACTAAAGATAATCAAAAAAAAAAATGTTTAAATATAATTATTCTGTAAGTGAGTGGGTAATGATAAAAAAATCACCCTGTATAACAAAATAAATATACAATTAAACGAAACCAAAAAAACTTATCAATATTTTTTTTATTTTAACCAACCATAATGAAGGTCTAATTAATCGAACTTTATTTAAGAACAATTCCATAAGAACTTTTTATGATTTGACACGACTTACGACGCAATAATGTAGTCGACACCGATTTTGAGGGTACAGACCCGTGGGCTGTTTATTAATGAGCAACAACAGGTTATTTTAACAAAAAAGTAAAACAAATCAAGAAGATGAACACAATAATAAAAATTTTACGCATAATACACGGCACTTTCGCTTGTGTCGACGACGCGATTTCCGGCATGATCCTCTGGCGTCAAAAGGTTAGATGGCGACGGTACGCGGGTGCGGTTCGGTTGGTCGACGTTGTCACTTTCACAACGGTAAGAAGACTCAGCGTATCATTTTTGGCGGGTCGTCGTCGGCCGTGTGGCACTTGTTGTACTTTGCACCGTAGCGAATGACACGCGGTGTTGGTCAATCTAATACTCATAAAATAGGTCGACAGTTGATAAAGGTGGCACAAGTCGCGGGGCATCGTGTATAACGAAGCGACGCGGGCCGTGTCAGATTATGATACTCATCACTGTTAAATATCAATTTATAATTATAAATTGGTTTTTGACATGCATCCAATGAGAAATGCCGCTTACAAACCTTTGAATTAAATTTATGATAAATTGTATAAATACGAGAAAGTGATTTGGTTATAACCACCCATTAAAAATTGTCTAATGTTCATATTATTTTTCAAGAATTTTATTATATTTGTTAAATTATAATATGATAATTTTATTCTAAAATGTATTAAAATATTATTAATCTATCTTGATATGATACCCAAGGGCGAGATTCCCAACACATATGTTTAATACAGCAAAACATTAATTTTTACTAAATTTTTCCCAATCCTTCAATTTTTGATAAATAATTAATAGAAAAATTGTTATGGACAATTTTATCTTTCTCTTAAGATATTCAATTTTTAATTACTATATGTTTACTTTTTATTGCGAATTTTTCTTAGATAAGCGCTATTCGCCCAATGTTTTCTATGTGTACAGCAAGATTGATTTTGTGTAAGGCATTCATTTTTTCAGAAATCATCATAAATTTTTTATGATAGTGATTTTAATCACTGTTAGATATCACCTATACTGGACCCAACTATGCCACGACCCCACTGTGCTGGGATTTTTTTTAATTAATTTATATTTCTAAACACAATTAATATTAATTAATGAGCATTTTACGAATCAGACTCTATATATCAAGTAGTATTTTTATCTAACTTCAAGTTTTTATGGCGAATAATTTATCTAAGAGATTTTATGAATGCTTGAAGTTATTAAATAGTCCCACCTATCTCTATTATAAAAACGGTTACTAAAAAATAGTTATAGAATTATTATCTTTTAGTAATTTATTACTCAAATTAGAAAAATTTACATGATAAATATTTGATTACAGATATTCGATTAAAAAATTAAAATATAAATGATCTAATAATTACTACACTTGTTTTAAACTATTTTTGTTGACTAAAAAATACAATGAAGCTTAAATAAATTAATGTCTTAATATTTGATATAGTCAAAATAATAAAAAAATTTTACTGAAATAAATTTAATCTAAATGTGTTCAATTTAAAAATAAGAAATCACNTTATTATATGTTCAATTTAAAAATAAGAAATCACACTTTACAAAATATCTTATTAGCATTGAAGCTATCACTCGATGTTCTTATTTATTAATTTATCATTTTTACTATTTTTTTTATTGTTTTGTCGTCTTATACTTAATTATAAATTGATAATAGCTCTATAATTGTTACTATCTTTAATTTAAGTATTGAACAAATTTATGTTAGTTTTAGTTGTAACAATGAAAATTGTATAGTTGGTGGTGTATATTTTTCTCCTGACTCTCCTATTCAGTCCTATGATACTTATTCTAGCACAATTGAAAATCTAGTATGTTGTTATAGCACCCATAGTTTTATTCTATGTGGTGACTTTAACTTACCTAATATTATTTGGTCTAATTATAATTTAGATATTTTGTATTCAATAGCTACTTAAAACGGAACTCATCCTATTCCTGAGACTTTTGCTTTCTTAAACTTTTATCAAGTTAATAATGTTTTTAACGTTTACAATTCAATGTTAGATCTTATATTTACAAATAAGAATCTCTTTAAAGTTAATATGGTGCACGATACAATTGTTCCTGAAGATCGATATCATCCAGCATTAGCTATTGATTACCCAACAATTAAGAAAGACCCGTTCTTTCATGCCGTTGAATCATATTTTAATTTTACGAAAGCAGATTATACACGTATTTCAGATTTTTTCCTATCTTATAATTGGTTGTATACTTTTACTCAACTTGACGTTAAGTCAGCAACATCAAATTTGTATGATACATTACACTTCTCTATTCTTCACTGGGTTCCACGTGTTAATTATAATAAATCTAATTTTCCTAGATGGTTTTCTAAGGATTTGATTGATACAGTGTTTCAAAAAAGAAAAGCCCACGCCATTTTTAAGGCAACAAGTAATCCATTCGATTATAAAAAGTTTTCTCTACTACGTGCAAAATACAAATGTTTATCGAAAAATTGTTACAAAAAATTTATTGAATAGACTGAATCTAATTTTTGTATTAATCCAAAAAATTTTTGGAACTTTGTTAGAAAGAGTAAATCTCAACAGTCAATTCCTAAAACAATTAATTTGAATGGGTTTACTAATAGTATAGAAGTTTCTAATCTATTTTCTAAACATTTCTCTTCGATATATGCTCAGCCCAGTGATATTGATAATACGTTGGTTTCTCCGCATTTATATCATGATCTTCCAAGCAATTGTTTTTTTAATGTTAGTGATGTCGAATTAGAACTAAAAAAATTGTGCGGTAACAAATCAGTAAGACCAGATGGTGTCTCTGGTGAATTTCCGTAATGTTACGTTCGTCTTTATCGTTTCTATTATGGCTTATTTTTCGTAAATCACTAGATGATGGTATCTACCCAGATTTAATTAAGCTCGGCCCCGTAACACCAGTACTTAAGTCTGGAGATAGTTCTAACGTTAGTAACAATAGACCAATCTCATTATCTAGCCATATAGTCAAACTTTTTGATTTATTAGTATTGTATTCTATTAAACCAATTATTAATTTGGTTTTAATCGATGAGCAATACGGATTTCGNCGGTTTTAATCGATGAGCTATACGGATTTCGTCCTGGTCGCTTAACAACGACAAAAAGTCTAGTTTTTACTAATTATATATTTGAGACTTTTATGAATCGCTCACAAGTAGATGTAATTTACACAGACTTTACCAAGGCTTTTGATCGCGTTGATCATAAGTTATTAATGAGAGTGCTAATAGATTCAGGTTTTGGTGAACCATTATTGTCGTAGTTTGAATCTTATCTAATAGATCGTAA